AAAACATTGTTGAAAGAAATGAATGAGGACACAAATATGTGGATAGACATGTTCATGGATTGAAAATATGAGTATTGACACCTTATCATTCTTACCCAAGGCAAGATACAAATTTAATGTCATCTTTTTCAGTACTCCAACACAAATCCAACCCCTTTTCTTTTATAAATGGAAAAAACAAACTTCAAACTAACATGGCATTTTAAGGAGCCCCAAATAGCCAAAACAATTGTGAAAAAGAAGAAAAAACTGGTGTACACACACTTTTCAATCCTAAAACTTGTATAACTACAGTAATCAAAATGCTCTGGTACTGACATAAACACAGACATGTAAACTAATGGATTAGAATAGAAATCTTAAAGATAAACCCATAGTCCTATGCCCAGCTATTGCTGCTGTTTGCTTGCTTATATGTTTTATAAAAATACATGGGTAAATAAATAGATTTGGGCCTCTATCTATGCCATAAGCAAACTTTACTCAAAATAAATCAACCGCTGAAATATAAGAGCTAAAATGATTAAACTCTTAGAGAAAAATGTGTATAAAGGTTCTTGTCCTCTGGTTTGGCAGTTGGTTCTTTGAGAAAACACTAAAAGAACAAGAAATAATAGAAAACTTCATAATTGTAAAACTTCATACTTATTTAAATTATTTATCAAAGAACAATATCAAAGATGTAAAAATATAGCCCATAAAATGGGAGAAATATTTACATGTCATGAATCTGACAAAGTACTAGCAATAATTCCGCCTACTCAACAACAAAAGCAAAACAATAGACTTCTCTCTATAAGCAAGACACTTGAGTAAATATATCTTCAAAACATATGTAGTAGATTTATCTTCAAAACATATTTAGAATTATATGAAGTAATATTATATGAAGTAATTATTAGAAGCATATGAAATAACACTTTGCCTATTAGTCACTGGGGAATACAGATGTGACCACAGTAAAATGCAGTGACATGTGGCATAACACCAGTTTATGATAAATTGCATATATGCTTTGGACCCTTAAGATTATATTGCTTAGTGATGTTGCAGCTGTTCTAATTTGTCAAAATACATGTTATGATGTTAGCACAACAACAAAATCACCTAATAGAGCATTTCTTAGAACATTTCCTTATTGTAAATGGCAAATTACTGTACTTCATACAAGTTGAATGAAAACAAATTTTTTTTGAAAATTACAAGGATGACAATCTAGAACCCTAAAATCCTCAAAACTTACTTAAAGGAATGTAAAATGGTGTATCTCTGGTGGAAATCAATCTGGCAGTTTCTTAAAAATCTTTAAAAAAATCAATACTGAAATTAACATGTGAACTAGAAATTATACCTCTAAATATATAGACCTAAAGAATTAAAAATAGACTCAAACAGATAACTTTATATCATTGAAGTATTATTTATGATGGTCAAGAAGTAGAAACAACTAATTATCTCAAAAGAGGAATGGTTAAATGTGGTCTATGTGTCTGTGTGTGTACACACACCATATGTATTTGTATATGCATATATGTATATATGCAATGGAATATTACTCAATTGTAAAGTGAAGTTAAGTCCTGATGTAAAACTCAACATGCATTAACCTTGAAACTTTTATAAGTGGAATAAGCCATTTACAGAGGATAAATATTACATATGATCTCATTTATAAGATATTTCTAGAATAGGCAAATTCAAAGAGAAAAAAGTAGTTCAGAGTTTATCCAGGATGGGGAGAGGAAAATTAATATTGTTGCTAAATGGGTATATTTTATGTTTGGGGTAATATACAGTTTTTAAATAATTTTTAAAATTTATTTTTATCTTTTTAAAGTAACAATGATTATACAACATTGGTGAATATAATTGTCATTTACTTTTATACTTGAAATGGATAAATTATCACATTTTGTATTTATTCACATTGAAAATTTTTTTAAGAAAAAACAGTGTAGGGCTGGGTTCAATGGCACATGCCTGTAATACCAGCTGCTTGGAAGGCTGAGCCAGGAGGATTGCAAGTTCAAAAAGCAAGGCCCTAAGGAACTCAGTGAGACCCTGTTCCTAAATACAATACAAAAATAGGGCTGGGAATGTGGCTCAGTGTTCCAGTGCCCCTGAGTTCAATCCCCAGTACAAAAAAAAAAAAAAAAAAAAGAAAGAAAAAATAAAAACATTGTAGGCAGTTTTGTTATATATTACACATATATTAAAGTCATTTTGTTAGAAACTATCACTTTGTACATAATATATTCTGCAACATTTGTAGTTTTAAATAATTGCATATATCTTGATATATTCAGATAGACACATGCACATATGTTTAATTGTTAGACCTGTGAAACATGAGTAAAAAATTATTGAAAATAAAAAGATAAATAAACAACAGACAATTTTTTT